ACTAAAAACTCTTAGTATTTTAAAATAATACCAAAAGTATGCAATTTAATTATCTTACATAGTATAAAATTTTCTTAAAATTAAGCATTATAAAATTCTTACATCATAAAACTTTACTATGTTGGCTAAGCACCTTGGTACCTTACATATATAAGTATTTTCCGGGGGTCCTGACGTAATGTATTTTGACAGACGTAATTAATTCATAGTAATTTTATAATAAATAGTGAATTAGTCCGTTCGCCGAAATATGACATAATTAATTAGCGGAGAAGTATAATGGCAGCTAATCGATCCATCCGATTTGTGACCGATTCTTGGCGCAAATCATGCATCTTTAATGTAAATTTCAGTTTTGTCACATCAGACGATTTTATTATGAATATCAGCAGATAGAAAGAAATATCGGTACTCCTAAATATTTCTCAATTTATCTAGATTTTCTTCTGATATAAGTATAATGTAATTTCTGATATGTTTTATTTACTTAATAATTTATATATAATATTAGTACGATATTTATATCATATTTGTAATTTTTATTAAAAATAAATTGAATTTAAATATTGAATTTAATATTAAATGCCATGAAAAGTTTCCTAGTAATACAGTCAACTCTGGATATAACAAACTCTCCATTCCAGAAGGTTTAATTCAGTATATAGTGAATTCGTTATATAATATACCAAACTAGTTTTCTTTATAGGTAATTTAGGCCAAATTTGTAATGCTGGCCAAAATTATAATTTCTTTTAACATAAATTTTTGAAAAAATTACTAGTAATTCTGGCCAGCACTATAAAATTGGCCTGGATTACTATATAGTCACATATAAAGTTATTATATAGCTGATATATAGGGGCTGGTTAAATTTAGTTCAGATGAGTTATATAGTGTTTTATTATAAAAGTTCGTTATATCTAGTGAAATTATTTATAAAAAATCAGTTCTGAAAATTATGATTTAGTATAGCGAGGTTTCAGTACAAACAGGTTCGTTATAACCAGAGTTAACTGTAAATAATTAATACAAATTTAAATTAATAAATTGCTGATCTTTAAATACAAAACGAAAATTATTGATACTTTTTGCCAAAGACCTTTAAAATAAGTATCTATTCAGAACGGTATGAATATGAAATTGCCCATTCTGATGCATTACGAGATTATTTTCTATATACAATTGATCATTATACCACCTCTTCCTCCCTACTTTTATATTCTGAATATTTTCTCCTGTCAAATTAACATGTCGTAAAAATTTTGAATCTATAGATAAAAATTTAATTAGTAAAATGTAAATAAATCTATTTCTTATTTTATGTATATAATCTACCTTACTAGATCTCTATTGTTTATCGTACATATAAATCACATGGTTTGAATTTTTGTTTCGTGATGGGCGAATATTTCTGTTCTTTTCTTTTTGTACTTTTTCTTCGCCTGACTCTGAAATTTCATCTGAATGATAACTTGAGTCATTAATAATCGCTTCTAAGCCTTTAATCCAATCATTCTATGGTATAGAAGGCTGAAGATCTGTTAGCTTCTGATCTCTTCTACTTAACATATGATGAAATTCTTTCTGCCATCTCTCCTTTTTTTTGTAATATGATAAAATAACAAATAAATATTAGTATTAAAATGCAATGTGGGTCCTGTGATCACCAGACATTAAAAATAGGGCCTTTATGGTTAAGATGACCTGTTACTAAACAAAGTCTACTTACGGAGTCAAACGATCATTTGACAGTGCACACGTGAAGTACTACCGGTATAACGAGTGGTTTGTAGTTTAATTATATTAGAGTAGTTATTAGGGAATTTTACTTTGTATATATTTTCTTTATTTTTTTTACTTTAATAAAACTGCAAATGCGTTGCAGAAAAAAAAAATAAAATAAAATAAAGGTATTTTCAAAATTTTGTTATCCTATATACTCTGTTTGTAACACAACCAGTAATTTGATTTTAATAAAATTTATATCATTGGATTCATCTTGATGAAAGGATTTTAATAATAGTAAAATTGCATTTTTTGCTTCAATATTGACAGAATTATATTATAAAATATATTTTTATTTTGGTATTTAAAGTTTATTTGTAAGTTGTATTAGTATTATTTGAGATTCTACTACACTAATAACAGACTTCATTTCCAATTTTTAAGGAATAATAAAGTAATTCAATAGGAGAATCACAAGAAATTTGAATTCAGCAAAAATCTTTTGAGCCAAACTATGATTATCTGAAAATATAGGTGATCCACATTAATAAGTATAAGCTTGTATTACAGAATTTAAATCTTGTTTTTGTTGTTCTGTTAACTGAGAATTGCTATAGAGGCATTGTGTTTTCCTACAAGAATTATATCTAATATAATCTTTAATTTTAGCAAAAATAAGAATATTATTTGGTACTAGCTCAGTTTTAGATTTTTCATTAATTAGAGAAGGGCAGAATTGTTCTGTTGTAGGTTTTCCATATAAATTTGCAAATTGTTCATAGTGATCTGAATTATCTATTTATAAAAATTAAAAATAATTCAATATATAGCTTAGATATTAAAAAATACCTTGTAATGGTACTGGATCGGACAGGAATATAAATTTTGAAAGATATCAATAGGCATTCTAACAGGATAACATACTT